TCAGTTTTTCTATTTCCAGTAGAGATAGGGTCTCGCTTTTGCTCAGGCTGGTCTTGAACTCGTGAGCTAAAGCAGTCCACCTGCCTCAGCCTTTTCCAGTGTTTTATTAACCCTGCTATTATTATGGTCTATACTTATTATTTTTCCCTTTCACTGAACAGTATAAACATTTTCCTCTTGCTATGTGGTTCTCAGATTTTTAACAATCAGTTTCATTTGGGTGTAGTTTACATTAAATTAAATGTACCCATTTTAAATTTCAGCTCATGAGTGTTGATGAGTACCTACATCTGTGTAACCACCACTGTAGTTAGGATATTGCACATTCCCATCACCCAAAAGAGTTGCCCTGTGTTTCTTCCAAATGACAGTATTTCCTCCCTAAACCTTTACCAGGTAGCAAATGGGCTGCCTTCTGTCATCACTCTAATTTTTTTAACTTCCTCTTTGGTCCATGAGTTATCATTTTTATATGAGTTCTCATTATATAATGTCACTCTCTGTTCCTAGTAATTAATATTCCTTGTTCTGAAGTCTATTTTTTTCTGGATAATAACATAGCCTCTGTGGTTTACTTCTGAGTAGTGCTTACATGGTGTATCTCTTTCCAACCTTGCCTTTTTATCCCATCTATCTCTTTGTATTGAGAGGGCATTTCTTCTAGACAGCATATAGTGGAGTCTTGCTTTTTTATCTTATCTGATAATCTCTCCCTTTAAGGTGTTTCACCTATTTTATATCTAATTGTTGATATTATTGGATTTCAATTAATTATTTTGAGTGATTCCAGTTAATCTGTCCTATTGGCTTATTGTTAATAGTTACAGCTCTGAAAAATTTTGCTAATTGCCCTAGGATTTATAATTTCCATCTTTAACTTACCACAGACCACCTGCAAATAGTATATCATTTCACAGATGGTGTGAGAACCTTACGGAAGTACGCTTCCAATTCCTTCCTCCCATTTTTTGTCCTGCTGTATTATGTTTGACTGTTACCTGTGTTATAGGCTCCCGCGCTGTACTGGACCTCTGCCAGCTGTCAGTGTAGCATCTGAGCCCAAGATGGTTTTCTGTTCTTCCCCAAAGGATTGGAGGGTTTTCTGTTTCTCTCTTTCTCCATCTATAATTGGCAGTAGTTCTTTGTCTCTGACCTGAGCTGATGGAGGTTTACGGCTCTTCTCTCATTGGCTTAAGGCCTTTGCTTTGTATGAGAGAAGGGTCTGGGGGAGTGATCAAGACTTCAGGCCCTTCCTCCAAGTCTCCTCCCTACAGGCCTACTTAACCAAAGAGAGCCTCTGCCCTGTCCCTAATCTTTTGCCAGTGTCTGGCAAAAGCCCATAGAAAAGTGAGTGAGTGCAAACTCTTCCTTATGTAGGAGACCCTCACCTCTTTAAGACTCTTATAGTGGCCCACTCTTGGCCTTTAACAATTCATTAAAATTTTAGTTGATGTCTTCTTACTTGATTTTATGGTAGCTGCTGTTTTGTCCCATGCTCTGCCACAAGTATGTCACTTTTGAAATGCAGGTTACTTATTTGCCTTGGGACCTCCGCTCTCTGATCAGGTTGAGAAATTTTTAATTTTATATTTTTTTCTAGATTTTTCTCATTGTCTGGGTGGTTGAGACAATCTTTTGTATTTCTGCATCCCAAGCAGGAAAGGAAATGGCCAGAGGGATTTTGATTTAAAAGAAAATTTCCAATTCACTATTCCGTTATGCTAGGACATCGGTGTGGGTGGGGACCACAAGGGAGGAAGCAGGGCAGAGAGTAACAGACTGTCCTGCTTTCCACAGGGAACTTCCTCTCAGGCCTTCTCAAAGGAAGTCCAGAGTTTTCAAACGAATACCCCAGAGTTTTTAGGGCTTGAGCTCAACCATGTTCATTTCTGGTGTCCACAGAAAAGAAGCCATAGTCTGTAAAATAATTTAGAGAGGTTTATTCTGAGCCAAATTTGAGGACCATGACCTACCCAGAGTCAACCCAAGAAGCCCTGAGTGAGTGGACTCATGAGGTGGTGAGGTTATAGTTTGGTTTTATACATTTTAGGGAGACAGAGATTACAGGTAAAGTCATAAATCAGTATGTGGAAAACATGTTGGTTTGGCCCCCAAAGGTGGGACATCTTGAAGTGGGGGGAGGGCTGACAGGTTATAGGTGGGTTTAAAGATTCTTTAGATGACAATCAGCTTAAAAAGTTAGGCTTTGTCTGAAAGAGCAGGAGTCAGTGAAAAGGAATGATCAAATGAAGGGTCTGTTAATCAGAGACAAAGCCCTGGACAGAGGACAGACTCAAGTGGTTTGCTGTGTATATTGAGGACCCACAGGTACCCATAGCCTGACCCTGTTAAGGAGTCACAAAGGACATCTCTAAGAAGGGGAGGGGGCATGGTGAGACCTGTCTGATCTCCTTTCTCATGGCCAGCAACTCAGTGTCAGGGATCCCCTTGGCCAAAGAAGGGCCCAGTCAGTCAGCTGCTTGAGGGAAGACTGAAGATTTTATTTTAAAATTCACAATATGAAACCTGACTCTTTCTTCACTCCTGAGGCCAAAGGCCTGTTACTATTCTGAGATATTGTTAAGAGCTTTTTATTGTCAGCCTAGATCCAGAAGGCCCCAGATAGCACGGCTCATCTTTGTAATGTGCCTTTTTTCTCTCATTGCTTTTAAGATTTAAAAAAAATCACTGTTTTCCAGCCTTTGCGTAGCTTTCTTTGTGTTTATTCTGCTGAGTGTTGAGCTTCTCGAATCTGTGGGTGTATAATTTTCATCATGTGGACGTTTTCCAGCAATTATTTCTTCCCTTCTCACTTTCTCCTCTTCTGGGTCAGTTGAGAGCCCTTTGATATTATCTGATAGTTACTGAGGCTCTGCCAAGTTTCTTTTTCTCCTTTTTCTGCAAACTATACTTCAGTTTGTATTGTTTTCAATGCTGTATTTCCAAATTCACTAACGTTTTTGGGTCTGATGTTTTATTTGCTTTCTGTGAGTCTAGGCAGTGAAATATTCATTTCGATATTACATTTTTGGGTTGTAGAGGTTCCATTCTATTTTTCAAAAGGCTTCCCTTTCTTCTTACTAAATTCATATTTGTCTTCAGACCTTTAGTATAAAGAGCATAATGTTGTTTTTAAAGTCTTTGTCTGCTAATTCCATCTACCCTACATTTCTAGGTCTGTTCATATTGATTGATTTTTCTTCTGACTATGGATCATGGTGGGGTTTTTTTGTTGTTGTTCTGAGACAGAGCCTTAAACTGTGACATCACAGCTCACAGCAGCCTCCAACTCCTGGGCTCAAGTGCTTCTCCTGCCTCTGCCTCCCAAGTAGCTAGGGCCACAGGTGCCTGCCACAACACCCGCCTATTTTTTGGTTGTAGTTGTCATTGTTTGCTGGCCCAGGCTGCATTCGAACCCGCCAGCTCAGGTGTATGTGGCTGGTGTCTTAGCGGCTTGAGCCACAGGCGCCAAGTTGGATCATGGTTTTTGTTTTTTTTTCATCTCTTTGCCTGTCTAACAAGTTTCACATTGTTGATGTTTGGATTTTGTTGTTATCCTTGAAGAGTGTTGAGTTTTGCTCTGCTGGGTAGTTAAATGACTTAGAGATGAGCTTGATTCTTTCAAAGTTTGTGTTAGGGTGGAAATTTGTATGCAAGAGGAGAAAGAATTCTCAATACAAAGATTAAGATATAAAGAAGTAAAAAGTTTATTTTGGCTTGGCACCTATAGCTCAACTGGCTAAGGCGCCAGCCATGTACACCTAAGGTGGTGGGTTCGAATCCCCAGCCCGGACACGCCAAACAACAATGACGGCTGCAACCAAAAAATAGCCGGGCGTTGTGGCGGGCGCCTGTGGTCCCAGCTACTTGGGAG